ATTCATAGGATCACTATAAATTGGATGTGACTTGACGGGCATGTAACAACAAAGAGCATACGGCCCAGGAGTGATAATTAAAGCAAAACTAGAACACACCAGTATCTATTATCAGTCTGAAACACAGCCATGTGTTATGAAAAGATTTTTATAATTGCTACTAATTCTAAAGGATTTGCTGCTTTGAGTTGTTTTTTTACCACAAAGATGCTAATTTGCACATTCCTGATATAACAGGATGAATTAATCTCCTTTTAACAGCTTCTGTCAAACCGCAGATCAAGCTTTTGTTTCCTCACTAAATATTTCATTACTCAGTAGGAAAAAAGGGGTGGAAACCCCAAAAACAGTTTTCAAAGAAAGCTTTTTTTTTTTTAAAGCAGCTGTGTTTTCATCTGGGTGTGCAACAAAACAGGCTGTAAAAACTGCAAGAAATAAAAGACAGATTTGGGCCAGGACACACAGTATGTGAAAAAGAATACAATTTCAATGGGTGTTGGTTTGGAAAGCCTGATGATTTTCATTGGTGGTCCACAAGTACACCCCACACTGTCAGATGGCATCAAACATGTTCCCTCATACAGTTCAGTTTCCTCCTTCTGCTCTGGAGAAAAATAAAAAAAGTTAACATCCACTATTCACAAATAAAAATGTTAACACCCACTATTCACATTTTTAAAATGTCTGCTGTTTTTTAACATACAGATCAAGAGTCTGAAGTATTATAACTGTTATATTATTTTCCTGCTAAAAATTAAACAGAAGCTTATTTTTCATCTAAGGATTCCTATGGATCATTTGAACTTACTGAACACTAAAACTGCTGGCTACCTCAGACTGTTGCATTGCTGAGGACATTTCTTCCTCCTCAGGAGAACCATAAGATTAGTGTTCTGGGAGTCTTAAAACACTAGCAGAGAGAAAAAAGGTACCAGTAAAATACTAATGAAGTATTCTCATTATCTTAATTTCCTAAGGGTTTTTTAAAAGGCTGGAATATCTCCTTTTAAAAATTGAGATCACAAGCCCTTTTGCTACACCAATCTAGAAAAGCAAGGAATGTTGAAGAAAACACAATACTAATGACACTCAGTTAATATTTCTAAACATAAAAGTCATTACATAATAATTTATTTGTTCAGTTAAAGAGGAGACCAGGCCAACATATATTGCCCTCCCTCCTAATCTCTGCAAGTAAACAGAATATGAAAATTCACTCTGTATATCTTCCTAGGACTGATACTCAGGATCAAGAACCCTAAGGCACGTTTCTTAATCCCACATGAAAATTTATACGTACACAGCCATTTTAAACACACTCCTATGGAAGGCTTGTTTATTCCCCAGTGTGATGTAGTGGATTAAGTGACAAAATCTAAAGGTCTAGATCTGGATCCCCACTTGGCTATCGAAACTCATCAGGGTGTGCGGAACTTGTAAAACCACTCGTTAATCTCACGTAATTTAGCTGTAAATTGGCACATAAAAGACACAAATGGAAGACTGATGGTCCAAACAGAGAGGGCACCTCAATCCAAAACTTTGGGACAGGGAAGCCTCTGACTATGGCCTTAAGTTGGATATTCGGAGGTCATGGGGTGGGTAGCTGGTTTTCCCATCCCCATATGTTTATTAAGTGAATGGACAAGGCCTTGAGAAGATGATTACATTCTACTCAAACAAAAGAGCAGTTCTAGTATAGGTCAGGAGAGAAATACTGTAGTCTCTGGTAAACTGGAACCAATGTTTGGTTTTTAGAAAGTCACAGTGTTTGTATCTCAGTCATGACAAGCAACTGTAGCTCGACAGTTTTTTGGACCATAACTTCTTTACTGCAGGCTACCACAGTTACCACTGATAGGAAAAAAAAAATCTCTAGATGTGGTTGTCCATCCCTGACTTATTTTTTTTAATGTTACATTTTTTAATGAACCAAAACTAGCTACTAAAATCAAAGGTATATCAGAATGTATTTTTAAGCATTTCCTTAAAAAAAAAAAACCAACAACCCTGCATTTCTCCATTAATGACAAAGCTACAGATCTCCATTTTGGTTCACCACTTGTTGTTTTCTACGCAGACACACCCTTTACAATCCAATAGTTTCAGGCAGCTAATATTTTTCTTTTTTTAAAGGACTGAGGAAATATTATCAGTGCTCAGGTAAAACTGAACCTGTATAGCAGGACTTTGCCTTCTTAAGTTGCTTACACCTGGCTCATTTAATGATTGTGTAAGGGTCTTTAAATGTACAGCCAAAATGGTTTTGAAGTACTGTTGATTGTTAGTGGTTTTCTTTTTGTTATACGTAACTGACCAAGATCTCTGGGGTCAAAAGAAAAACATTAACACTGTAAATTCTAAAGAAAGTTCACAACGCATTGATTAAGAAACTGGAGTGGGGATTTTAAAAACCACATTGGTAGGATATATTGTTTGAAAAGCAAATTAGTTTCTTGAAAGGCAGATCATTCTCGCATTTTTTTGTTGGCTAGTATTACAAAAATAGGTCCAAAATTATCAATCTTTCTTCCTTTTGTGGTCATCTGTCCAAATGTAACACTCATTTAGTATCTACACATAGCAAGATATGCCTTTGTTTATTTATTTATTTATTTTCAAAACTGGAAGAATCTGTCCAGGGTAGGTGGTAAAGGGCATCTGGATTCATTTAATGAAAATAATACCCAGGAAAAACAAAATTTAAAAATAACCCCCAAATATTTCGTGGTAAACATAAAACACCTCTATTAATTTGGGCAGTCAGACATAGGTATGTCTGGATATGATGGAGATTTTTAAACAGGATCATCTCCCACTGAAGGCACCACATACACCTTTCTCATGTTACAGCTTTCATACAGGAAGTGGAAGCAATGGCAGGGTGGGTAGATGCCCTGCGAAAAAATCAGGATAGTGCTGGAGACTATCTGGATGTGTAATTTGCCCACAGCCTGCTACTCACCCTTTTGCAGGGTGTCGGTCATATAACCAATTTTATAACTGTTTGAAAGCTAGACACTTTGCCAAACAGGGAACCATTATGTGAGTAACTTTTTTTATTGTGTACTTTTTTTAAAAAATGGGATCTTAGCAAAATTCTGCAACAGAAAGAATATCTCAATTTTGCTACTAAAATGGATTATGCAAATTAGGTAGATATACATATATTTCCTCTCATTTCCATAAATCTGAAAACAAAATGTGAGCAGACCATGGGTTTCATTTTGTTTGTTCCACTCGGTAAGACTGCTTCAAGCTAAAAAGAATGCAGTCGAAGTCTGTTCTCTCTCTCTCTCTTTTTTTTAAGTGAATGCTCGTGAATGCTAACTGGCTTCTTACTAGCTCCTCCCTTCCACTCCTGAGGGAGATCTCGCAAGTATATCCAGTTGGCTGCCTTTTACCCTCTTAAGAGACTTGGCTTAATACACTTCCATAAAGTGTTCAGCTGTGGCTGGATGAAGGACAGAGCTTTACAGGGCGTGTTTACTTCTTCAAATGCAGTTCAAAACAAACCTCTGTGTGTGTGTGTGTGTGTGTGTGTGTGTGTGTGTGTGTGTGTGTGTGTGTGTGTGTGTGTGTTTGTTTGTGTGTTTGTGTGTGTGTTTGTAGCTGTGACAGAACAATTTCTAAAGGAAAGTAAATCTGGAAGAAATGATAAACGGTTGGAAACACTTATCCCTTAAACATGAAATATTGATGAAATAATTAATCACTAAATATTCCCAACAATGAAATGTTCAAACAACAAGCAAAACCTGTAGATACATAGACCCTGACATATTCTACATCTGCTGAACATTCAGGACCGTACTACATGTTATATGAAACATGTAGCATGCAGTTCTGTGTCTTGTTTTGTTTAAAATAAGCACAATGGGCATTGATCTGGTCTGGAAACACTGTGCATATAGAGGGGAAGATTAATCCTTGCCTCCCCAGCAGATTCGCCCCTCTAGCAATTAAAAGGGGGGGGCAGAATTTCAATTACAAGTTCTGAATTAGTGGTGTGGGGGAGGAATTTGAGGGAAGGATTAACCCTCACTTCCCAGATATAGGAAAATTTGTAGAGAGGAAAACAAATAAGATGAATTTTTAAAAAAGAACAATAAAGACCAGGTCTACAAAGTTTAAAATGTCGAAAGGACTTAAATATGTGTTCCTTTTAAGTATAAGTAACAAACTTATCATGTGAAGCATTTATGTCAAACTATTCATGGGATGTAATATTGTTAAATATCATACCATAAATTTGTGAAGCAGATATAATAAGTAGCGACTGACCTAATAGCAGGTATTAATTTTTTTTAAAAAAACCTATGTAGTACAGAAAGCTGTTAATGCCCTTTTACTGGGGGGTATAATTTTGATGTTTGTTTACTCAGAAGTAAGCCCTATTAAGCTCTGTGAAACTTACTCTTCATCAAATGTTCTAGGAATGATGCTAAACATTATTGTAATTGGTAAAAATCTGTAAGAATTTAAATATATAGGATCAGTTCACACACAAAGGATTCTTTATCATGGTTTGAAGAATAAAAAAAGTTCTACAAGACTACAGATTACTGTCTATCTTCAGATTTGTTATTTTCTCTTTAATATAAACAGTTTGTCATTATATGAGGGTGTCCATATGCCCTTCTTTAAGGAGGGTGGCCCTCTATTTGAAGAGCTGTCCTCCTTTCTGGTGAGGTGTAAGTAGCCACCTTACACCTCCATTAATTTCCCTTGTGGAGCAGGGAAAGTAGAAGCTTTGGTCGGTAAATGTATCTAACTGGCCCTCTCTCCCCCCCCCACCCTTTTTTTTGTTAAGTAAAATCTTTGCAGTGAGGGCCATCTTGTAAGAAAAGACACAAACCACAGACACTGATGAAAAGCAGGAAGGATATGACATGGTGCATCAGTTCTGTGTGAACTTCAGATGTGAGGTCAGTCCCAGGACAGGACATACAGGAACTCCTACTCAGACCATTCCTATGAAATAACTGATTGTTGCCTACCTGGACGTCTTCCACAGAACTACAGTGACCTCTATTTAATTTTCCTTCTCTTTCTCTGTATAAATGCACTTTCAGTAAGCTGCAGAAAATACAAGGTACAGGGCATTTCAGAATGTTATTAAACACTTTGTCTTACTTATTTGATTTATCTCTCAACACTTTGCTCCAAAGTGGTTGCCCAGTCACACTCATATGCCATATAGTGAGCAGTAGTGCATTTCCATTCAAATTACAATTAGAAATAATGGCTAATTGTGATATCATTTGCACAATTATTTTAAATCAGCACATGCAACTTAAATGCAAAAATACCCCCATTTTGTGACAAATATCCTCCTTTCTTGTATTCCTTGTTGAGCACATGCAACTTAAATGCAAAAATACCCTCATTTTGTGACAAATATCACCCTTTCTTGTATTCCTTGTTGTCTATGTCCTCCTTTTTGGTGAATTTTCCCCCTCCTTTTTTTGGTGATGGAGCAGTGGCCATGTGTACAAGGGGCAGAGCCCCGCCAAGCAGGGCTGAAAATTAGAGGGACTGTTGGTCAAGTTACATTTGTGTGCATTTTGTCACCAAGTGATGTATCCCATATGCTCTCTCTCTCACTTTCTCATTCATGCTTTCATTGGTTTTCACCATATAACGTTCATTGCATGGACACTATACAATATATAAATAAGAACAAAAACATTAAGAAAACATTTTGGAAGACAAACTGTATGACTGAACAAGTTTCTGTCCCAGTGTACCATGTGTGGTGTTAATAGGTAGGAAACAGCCAAGCTGAAAGGGGTGGGACATGGGGCTCCAGTTACTGAGGTGCAGCAGTAACTGGAGCACCCTCTTCAGGATACAGTGTACCCTAGGTCAGCAAAGTTACTATAGTATCAGAAGCCGTGGATGTTGCAAGTACCTCTCTCCTTTTTCCTCACAGTAAAAAGATGATAATAAATTAAATAATGAATCAATACATTGACATATAAAGCACATATTAACAATCTTCAACAACAATACCACAATCAGCAAGTGCTCAAAAGATGTAGTAAGATCTTAAAATCCTAGATAAAAAAAAAGAATGATGTTGATGCCTTATGCCAAAATGCTTCTTTCACTATGGATTTCTTTTACCTTGTTAGTTTATTATGTCCAATTGCTAGTTGGGGTTTTGTTGTTGAAAATTAAATAATGAACGATTTCAAGAAAGCAAAAAATCTTTGGCCAATTGGTAGGACCAACATTAATTTTAGATAGTAAAATTGTTTTACTGGATCAATCTGTTCCTTTACGCTAGAAACTAGATGATGGGTCTATTATCATAAAATGGAATGATGATGATAATAATAATATTTACATGCAGTCAAATCAATTTGGACTTATGGCATCCCTTTCTAGGCTCTCCTATATGTCGAACACTCAGAAGGGGTTGACCACTCCTCTCTTCAGGAAGCACTCCACAAGGTTAAGTGGGGAGTCAAACTGCTGATCCTGGCTTCTCAGACACACCAACTCACTGAGTTATTCAGCCAGCTGGCCATAAAATGGTGTTTGTGTGTCATGTGTTTCAAAGTTAGAACTAACTTATAATGACCTGAATAGGTTTTTCAAGATCAGTGAGATATTTAAGGAGTATTTTTTACCATTCAACCTCCCTCCCCCCATGTTTCCATGGCTAATTAGATATTATGAATCCAGTCCTAATCCATGACTCTATCTGCCACACTACCCTGAGTGAGACAAAATCGAGCAGCTTGCAATAAATTCTGCTGTATTATAAAACTACTGGTAAGCCTGCTAAAAGCAACTACTGAAGATTACAGAGCATGCACACAAGAATAGCGTATATCAAAAGAGCAGTTTGTTTTCCTCTAATACACTAAATGTTGTGGGGAGGGGAATGAATAAGCAAGCAGGACTGATGGCACTGAATCCTATCAAGGCATTATTTATTTGTGCAACAGGAAACAGAATACCAAGTTCTCTACAGGCACACATCAAAGTAAACTGCCTGCTGAAACTAAACAAAGGCACATTCAAAACATTGCCCTCAATCAGCCTGAGCCAAACTTGCAAATGTTATTCTCTTGCTCTATGGCTGTTTTAACTTTTTAAAAGTCCACATACATAGCTTTAGGCTTGGTGATTACTCAGAAAAGAACCCTTTAAAAATATAATTATGGGTGCACAGTTCTGTCAACACCCAAATACATTGTACAGAAAGCTTGTGTTTTCCCCCCACATTTGAAAACGAACCATATGCCCCTTCTCAAACTAGAAAAAAATTTTGTCTTGAACCTAGGGTCAATTCTAAAAGTGGTTTCACATTTTTATAGACTTTAGCCAATGGGAAAGGAGAGTAAAGATGTGGTATAATTTATCATATACTTAGGCCCATCAGAAGCTTGTTAGAAATTATTTACGTACATCAGAAGAATATTAAAAGTTATTCAGAAAGGATTTTTCCAATGTGTGCTATTTCACAAAGCTCCTGTGACTATGCAATATTTTCTCAAATATGAGATGTTGACAACCTAGTCCACAATGATACAGTAGTAGCCAGAGGTTGTTTTTGTCCAGCAGCAGGTAATCAGAGCTCTAGTGCTTCTGTGCAAAGAGTTTCCACTGAGCTACTATGGCTAATAGCTGTTGCTAGAGCTCCATGATGGTACAGTAGTGGGCAAGAGAAAACTATTTCTACAACAGACTTTCCCTTTCATGAGGTGAGGCTGAATGGGGGGGTTTCCCAGAAGGAATCAATAATATTATCCAGTTCTCTTCCTTTTTTTATATTCTGCTTTGCTTTCAAGGAACTTCCAACAATGTAAATTACTTCCTCCTTCCAATTTTACCTGGACAGGCACTGGTACAGTAGTGGGCAAGAGAAAACTATTTCTATAACAGACTTTCCCTTTCATGAGGTGAGGCTGAATGGGGGGGTTTCCCAGAAGGAATCAATAATATTATCCAGTTCTCTTCCTTTTTTATATCCTGCTTTGCTTTCAAGGAACTTCCAACAATGTAAATTACTTCCTCCTTCCAATTTTACCTGAACAGGCACTGGTGATGTAGACTAGGCTGCAAAATGGTAACAACTCCAGGGTTACTCAGTGAGTCCATAGCCAAGTGGCTATGTGAACCTCTGTTTCCCTGGACCCAGCTGAGATACTGGGTCCAAGGAAACATCAAACACGGTGTCTACTTCTATTATTACTTGTAATGTCACTGTGTATTTTATTCTCATCCAGCTCATTTGTTATCTAATGAAACAGAGCAAAAATAAAATACAATGATTTGATTAAGGAATGGAGGAAATACTCAAGAGAAAAGGGCACCATTCAGTTTGGTTTGCTACAAAAACTGACTTACTGGGTCCAAGGAAACATCAAACACGGTGTCTACTTCTATTATTACTTGTAATGTCACTGTGTATTTTATTCTCATCCAGCTCATTTGTTATCTAATGAAACAGAGCAAAAATAAAATACAATGATTTGATTAAGGAATGGAGGAAATACTCAAGAGAAAAGGGCACCGTTCAGTCTGGTTTGCTACAAAAACTGACTATTGAGTTGCTTAACATCTGGCATTAATCCAGAGGTATCCTATTACACAGAGCAACCTCAGGATCGTTTTTAGAGGGATTTTATACCATCAGCATATCATTGCTGCCATAAGCCCAAACCACATGGCTTATTCTGCATGGTGCTAGCTTTGTCTTCATTATCTCTGTGACGCACACCTGTGGGTATTTCTACACCTGTGCAGTCTTGTTCCATAACTTCTCAAGCTGTGTTCACTGTCACCTCCAATATGGTTCTGGCCATAATGTTTTACGCCTTTAAGCTTTGCACTGTATCAAGTTAAAACAAAATGAAGAATAGGACAAATCATTTGCAAAAGAGCAGTTCAGCTATCAACAGCATCTTAATAATCTCTAATAATTTATCACCAGAATTGCATGAGAACACAGTGTGTTGTTCTAAGCTACATATTATTCAACTTGAAATAAATGTGGCAAAGACAGAGTTTCTAAAAGAAGTACTTGTTTTTAACCTGACAACAAATGCTGAGGGTTTTTTTCTGCATCTTTTCTGTTGTGTGACAAAGTACTAAATTGGATTTTGTAGGAACAGATACACTTTGCCAATTTTCCAGCACCAGTCTTAGTCTTTGGAACAGAAAGAAGATCAGAAACAATAAAACCATTAAACAATTCATCATTTGTATTTTTCTTTTATGGATACAACATACTGTAAGTTGAGTAGTAGAAATGAAAACATTCAGAAACAATCATTAGAAGTCATAACTCCATAATTTCCATCTGTGTTCCAGTCCAGACTGCTACAACTGAGTTGTGATATCGGGTGAGAGGCAACCCCGCTATAAAAATCTGCTTTATTTTACCTATAGCCAATCAAATAATGGCTCAAATTACAGTATCTACATTTAAATACTCTTTTAGCAAGTGAAATAGAACAGATTGTTTTGGTCCCTGTCAAGCATGGTACTTTCCTTTCAACTTAAGAATGAACAATAACAAAACTATGCAACACACTGGTATCAGACAAAATAAGAAGTCAAAATAATAGACTGCAAGTTCAGGAAAAAAATAGAAACATTCAATTGCTGTTCATTTGTCTCTAAAAATATCACACAGTTATGACTTGCTTAACTGTGAGATCAAACAAAAACATTTTTAAAATTTTTAAATTTAAAATTTTTAAATAACATTTAATATGCATCATAAGAAAATACATTTTAGGATTAAACATGTAATAGGGTCTACATTCAGGATCTGAGGACATCCACCATATTATTCTAAATATTCCCATGTGCATTTTAGGAGTTCATCATTTTATTCCCAGTTTACAAATACCAGTTCACAAATTCAGACACGTATTTCTTAGATTTGATGAAGTGACTGAAGGATTTCCATTTAATTTGCTTGGCAGACCAAACCTATATACCTCTATTCAGAAACAAACCTCACTCAGTTCAGAAGAGCTTCCTCGCAGGCATACTTCAACAAAACTAAGCAGCACAGACATAAGCCTGTCTCAGGGATTCTTAATGCAACTTTC